CTCCAGCCTGTCCCTGCAGTCCCCATGTGCTTTCATCACGAGTCAGAACTTCAAGATGCTGTTAATTCTGAAGCCATGTCAGCTCAGCTGTCAAGATAAGAGAGTTTATAGCATCTTGTATTTATGATAAACTGGAGTGACATGCAGATTTTGAATATCTTATTTGAAGCCATTTTAAGCTAGGCTAAATGCAGCCTGTCAAATTCACCTGCAAGGCAGGGTCCACGTGAGGGGCTGGGCGCTGAAGGGAGATGGCAGCAGTGTGGTTGGCAGGCAGGGGAAATGGAAGGCAAACAACAGAGAAAGGTGCCTGTGTTCCCAAACAGGGTTCTAGAGGCAAGTCCACTCTGCCTAGACGTGGATGGCTCTGGGGCAGGATGCCTGGAGGGTCTTGCCCAGAACAGTGGACCCAGCGCTGATTCCCAGGGATCTACAGAATCCTTGAGGAGTGGGGGAGGTTGACTCACAAGATGATTCAGGCCTTTGGAGGACTAGGTATTTGTGATCACAGGACGCCTTGGAAATTGAGTATGTTTTCGACTTACAATACCACCAGTTAAGAGGTTCTGGATTGGGGTTGGTAACTCATTCGGGGCCTGCCGTCACTTGTGGGATGAGAAAAGCCAAACTGTTTTGCACACTGAAGCGGATGTGTGGGGCCTGAGGTTTATGCTACCCAGAAGCTTTCTTTAAACAAAAATTGGGGTACAGAATTGCTTGGGTCCCTCCAAGGAACCTACACAAAGGCCTGTAGTGAGGGGTCCCAGTACCCCAGGCACAGAGGACCCTCAGCCAACCAGGGCCTCATGCCTGGGGAAGGTTAAAATGTGAAGCCTGGTAATATAATAAGAAACATATATTTGGTCTTTGTCCCCATTCCTGGCACAGAAGGACTAAGACCTTTGGACTCTCTGCAGTGAGAAGAATGAATGTCTCTTCTGTGTTACTAAGATGCCTGGTGGCTGGGAGCCCCTGAACAGCTTCGGGATGAGGGCTGGTCCCAGAAGGACCAAGGCAGGACTCGGGGGGTTGGAACTTTCAGCCCCACTCAAGGCAAATCTCCTCTGGGGAGAGGAGACAGGCTGGAGATTGGGTTAATTACCAGTGGTCAGTGATCTAATGAATCATGCCTATGTCGTGAAAACTCCCTAACATTCCTGAACACTGAGGTCTGGAGAGCTTCCAGGTTGGCAAACACACCCATGTGCTGAGAGGGTGGCACACCCTGACTCCATGGGGACAGAAACTGCTGGGCTCTTCCAGACCTAGCCCGGCTGTTTGCCTGTGTCCATGACAATAATCTGGTAATAGTAAAAAAGTGTTTTCTGGGTTTCTGTGAGCTGTTCTAGCCAATTATTGAACTGAGAGAGGTGGGAATTCTAAGAACCTCCTGACTTTGTAGCCAAGTCAGAGAGTAGTGTAGGTTCCCTGAGTACCTAAGACTTATGACTGGCGTCTGCGGTGTAGACAGTCTTGTAGGACTGAGCCCTTGAACCTGTTGAGTCTGACATTAGTTAGTGTCAGAACTGAATTGAATCATGGGACACTCACCTGGTACTGGAGAACTGGCTGGTGTGGGAAGAAATCCCATATTTGATGTGAGAAAAAGCAGCTCAAGCCCATTCTTCATTTCTCAGCAGGGTGGTTTTTTTTTTTGCTTTGCTGTTCCAACATTTCATTTCTCATCTGGGTCCCAGTGGTCATTTATTAAAAAGAGAAACCTTTTAACATAAAAATTGGCTCCAGATCTGAGCCACTCACTCCCCGTGAGAGTCTCTGGGTTCCTCCTGGGCTCTCTGTTTAGACAGGTGATCCCAGCGAGTCTCCCAGCTTCAGAGGCTGAGAGGCTATTGATCCTCATCAAAGGCAGCACATGCCGCCGTGTCCCTAGGGAGCCCCCATCTGCCTTGAATTCCACCCACAGTAGCACAGAATTGGCAGTGGGCACAGTTGGCTGCCATGGCTTCCAGGGGCTGGAAGGAGATAGTTTACTGCAGGGATTCTTTTTTTGTTTGTTCGAAACAGCATCTCACTCTGTCGCCCAGGCTGGAGTGCAGTGGTGCAATCTCAGCTCACTGCAACCTCTGCCTCCCTGGTTCAAGCGATTCTCGTGCTTCAACCTCCCGAGTAGCTAGGATTACAGGCACGCGGCACCACATTCGGCTAATTTATTGTATTTTTAGTAGACATGAGGTTTTGCCATGTTGGCCAGGCTGATCTCAAACTATTGGCCTCAAGTGATTCACCCACCTTGGCCTCCCAAAGTGCTGGGATCACAGGCATGAGCCACTGTGCCCAGTTTACTATAGGAATTCTTATCCTGGGGCCTATGGATCCCAACATGGTATGTACAATCTTTAATTTTAAGGTCTGCTTTTCTGAGGAAATCTGCTATCCAATTTTCAAATGGGTCTTTGAGTACCCTCAAAGATTAAAAATTATTTCCAAGTGAAAAATAAAGAAACACACTGTTGCACTCCCTATTTTTTTTTTTTTTCTAAGAGTCAAATCAAGTATGGGAAATTCCAGTTATCCAAGGGCTTGGACCAGGGAGTCTTCTGGCTGCTTGAACATGGAGGTACCACACACCATCCATGTGTGACCGCCCAGTGGGCTCTCCATGCCCACTGCCTAGACAGAGCTGAGTTACCAAGACGGGAAATTTGCAATCGAGAGTTTAATTCACGAAGAGTTGGCTGTACGGGAGACTGGAGTTTCATTACTAATCAAACCAGTCTCCTGAAAACTTGGGGATCTGGGTTGTTAAGGATAATTTGGTGGGTTGGGGATTGGAAAATGGTAAATGCTGATTGGTTGGGTAGAAGATAAAATTGTTACTGGAAAGGGTTCCTGATCCAGATACCAAGAGAGGAAGGGTTCTTGGATCTCACACAAGAAAAAATTCAGGGCAAGTCCATAAAGTTGGCTGCTTCAAAGGCATGAGTTGCTCAACTGAGTCTTATTTATTGATTATATGCTAAACAAGGGGTGGATTATATGTGAGTTTTTCAGGAAAGAGGCAGGCAATTGCCTCTTTCCAGTAACAAGGACAGCTTGGCGGTGAGAAGCAAGATGGAATCAGTTAGGTCAGATTTCTTTTATTGTTGTAATTGTTAGGATTTTGCAAAGAAGGTTTCACCACATGGACATTGCTTTGGGAAGATCTACCATTTCTTCGAAGGTTGAGTTTGGGATGCAGTAGCCTTTGGGCACCCCTGTCCTGTTGCTGTGTGTGTATTCAAGGCAATCCCGGAAATCCGGAGACAGAGCGTCTGGCCCCCTTCCCGTTTTCCCTGGTGGGTCAGGCAGGTGACTGAGGAAATGTGGCCTTGGGTTACTTCCCACCTTCCAGGCTGTGTGGAACTCAGCCCTTCCCCAGCCTGCAGAGGATGTATCCCAGGGCCCAAGGCTGCCTGGGCCCTGCAGGGCAGATACTGGAGGTGAGAAGAGGATCTGGCTCTCGAGGGCTTTGCCAGCAGGCAAGGCGTGTGCCTCAGGGAGCCAGGAAGGCTGTACCACTTGCTAGCCAGCCAGAAGCAGTAAGCACCCCACCCTGTCCTGCCACGCTCCACACTGTCCCCCCCGGCTAAGAACAGAGTTGTTTTATTGTTTGTGTTGTTTAGTTGGCTCGGTTGCCCAGGCTGGAGTGTAGTGGTGCCATCTCAGCTCACTGCAACCTACCCCTCCCGGGTTCAAGAGATTCTTCTGCCCCAGCATCCGGGGTAGCTGGGACGACATTCATGCGCCACCACCCCCAGCTAATTTTTGTATTTTTAGTAGAGACGGGGTTTCACCATGTTGGCCAAGATGGTCTTAATCTCTTGACCTTGTGATATGCCCCTCAGCCTTCCAATGTCCTGGAATTACAGGCATGAGCCACCAAGCCCAGCTGTTTTTTGTTTGTTTGTTGTTTTGTTTTGTTTTTTGAGACAGAGTCTCATTCTGTTGCTTAGGCTGGAGTGCAGTGACGTGATCTCAGCTCACTGCAACCTCTGCCTCCCGGATTCAAGCGATTCTCCTGCCTTAGCCTCCCAAAGAGCTGGGACCACAGGCGCCCACCACCATGCCGGCTAGTTGTATCTTCAGTAGAGACAGTGTTTCACCGTGTTGGCCAGGCTGGTCTCAAACTCCTGACCTCGTGATCTGCCCTCCTCGGCTTCCCAAAGTGCTGGGATTACAGGCCTGAGCATAGAGGTTTAATCAGATTTTTTCTTCTAAATTCCTCTGAGACCAACGGCCTGAGGGATGAAGGATATCGAGGGATGGAAGGGAGAGTTAAAGAAGCGGCACTTTCCCCCCTCCCAGCCTGTAAATACACGTAGGTCTTTTCAACAAAAATCAGAAAAAGCGAAAGGGAGGCATGGAGGGAGGGGTCGCGGAAGGAAGGAGGAAGGCGTGGAGGGTGGGAATGAGGGGGGAGGAGGAGGAGGGAGGAGAGCGACGGGGAGCGCGGAGGAAGGGTGGGTGCTCCCACGCCGGCCTCCCTTCCTTCCCCGCTGCTCCCGCCTCTCGCACTAGCGCCCCGCACCTGTGGCACACCTGTGGAGCCCTTGCCCCGCCCCGTCCAGCGGCCTCCTCGCGCCCCGCTCCCGTGAAGTCCCGGCCTCCGCTGGCCTCCGCCGGGCTGGCTTCCCCTCACTGCAGCCCCGGACGTGAACCTCCTCTTTCCACCAGGGCCTGGGCGCAGCTGCCCTTTGTGCTTCCCCGACCTCGTGCCGTAGCTCCACGCCCCTCGGCCGCTCCCTCCCGTCTCCCCTGCTCACCCCACGCGCGTGGCCTCGGGGTCTCCAGCGCGTCATCCCTGCCCTCGGCGTCCTACAGCGCCTGCCCAGGTCGCCGAGCAGCCCCCACCTCCCGGCCACCTCTCCAGGACCGTCCTCCCGAGGGTGGACCCCTCCGCAGGCCCCTGCTCTGGCACTTTCAGTGTGGCAGTCGCTGCCAGGGGTCCTGGGACAGTGGACTGGGAGCCCCCACGCAGCGTCCCGCAGGCTCCTGGCCGCCTCGAGCCCGCGCGACGCGCATGGAGTTCACCTGCGGCGAGGGGCCGGTCTCTGCCACGGAGCCTGCCAGAGGGCAAAGCCCCAGACACAGCAAATACGGAGGCAGCCGGCACTTGGAGAGGTCGAGGCGGGAGGATCGCTGCAACCTAGGAGTTCGAGACCCGCCTTGGCAACTGAGTAAGACGCCCCCACCACCACCTCATCGCTACAATAAATTTAAAAATTAGACGATCGTGGTGGCGCGCGCACTTTTTTTTTCGTGGTATTCCCAGCACTTTGGGGAGGCTGAGGTGGGAGAATCACCTGAGCCCAGGATGGTTGAGGCTGCAGTGAGCCGAGATCGCGCCACGGCACGCCAGCCTAGGTGACAAGAGCCGAAACCTCGTCTCAAAGCAAAACTGAAGGAGGCGGCGGTTTCCTTCTGGAACCACTGCAGAAAATCAAGAGCAGGGAGCTGTGGAACTACTCATACTTAGGTCTCGGTGCCCTTGCACCCCTAGCCCTAGAGCTGGGGTGTTCCAGCGCGGAGGGAAAGGAGCTGGTGGGGTACATGAGCACCTAGGCTGCCCGCGGGGCAAGGGAGCTGTGGAAGGAGGAGGCAGGGAGGCTGGTGTGGAGGGCCTGGGAGGCTGCAGGAGCAGCGGAGCCCTGGGCTTGTCCCAAGCAGTTCCCAGGAAAAAGCAGAGAGGAGGGGGGTCCCCAGGGGAGGGAGAGATTTAAGATAGAGAACCAGTAGGAAGTGGCCAGGATTTTCCCACCTGGGGTCAAACCAAAGCAAACAAAGGAAGGTTGTTCGCCCAGAGTGATGTGTCCTTCAGCATCCTCACAGGTGGGGGAAAGGCCTGTGCTGTCCCAGCGGGGGTTCTGTATAGGCTGCGGAATTGGCTCGCACGGTTCACAGAGCACTCACACTTGCTTGGCCTCCTGGAAAGCCTTACTCTTTTTAATTAATTTTTTTTTCTTTTGGTAGAGATGGGGTCTCACTACATGGGCCAGGCTAATCTCAAACTCCTGGGCTCAAGTGTTCCTCCAGCCTCTGCCTCCCAAAGTGCTGGAATTACAGACATGAGTCACCCAGCCCAGCCAGCCTGACTTTTCAGAATGATGTCACATCCTTGTGGATCGTTGAAAATAAGATTGTTTTCCTCAGTCTCCTAGAAGCCCCAAAATAGCCATGCAGATGTCCAAGCAGTTCTGGTTTGATTACAAGGAGCATGTATAAAATAGCTACGGGTGAATGGGGTCAGTGCAAATGGAAACTGGTGGAGGCGGCTTGGGACTCTTGGAGGTCTGCAGGAGAGAGTGCATAATTAACACACCCATGGCCTCTCCTGATATGCCAGGCGGAAAGTGCTCTGCAGAACCAAGTGCTTTTGGTCTACAGAATGTCTCCCAGCTCTTGACTGCAAAGGGAAAAAGGATAGCCGAGGATCATTAAGCAGAATGCCGAGAAATTTATGGAAACCCCCTCTGATAGCTTAATCTAATTGCAGCTTCTTCCAGTGTACGGAACGCTGCTAATGGACAGCCGTTGCTGCCAGCTCTGATGATGGTAGGCTTCCTCAACACTCAGCCCAGGGCAGCCAGGAAGAATGAATGCATGGTGATTCAGAGGGCCAGGAGGAAGCTGCGTGGCATTTCAGAGATACTTATTTTAAAACTGCCGGTGGCCATGTCTTCTTTTCCTATCTGAGCTAATAATGAATTTTGATATGTGAACATTTCTTCTGCTTCATAGGTAATGTGTTGATGTGGCACTTTAATCTTAGAATAATCATTTCTAAAACCAACCCAAGTGCTTTTCTCTACACTGTTGGCCTTGGCAAACAGATGAATCCGTTGACTTGAGCACTGCTTGGGCACTGTCTGTGTGCAGGTCAGGCAGGGGACATGGCGAGTGGCTGGGAAGCAGAGGATGGAGGTGTCTAGGGTGCACATGGCCGGGGGGTCAACTCCACAGGGGGTCGGCCCCTAGCCTTAGTCAGGGAGGGTTTCATGGAGGAAGGGAGAGTTGAGTGAGAAAGCTGTTCCCAGGTAAGAGGGAAGAGCATCCAGGGAGAGGGGGCTGCTTCTGGGAAGACCAGAGTCATTACCTCATGGGCTTGTAAGGTGATTGGGAGGAAGAGAGACCCCAGGGAAAATAACAGGTTCCACTGACAGGAGGCCTGCTGGGGGTGGTGGGGGGGGGTGGGCTTGCAGTGGAGCGATGGCTGCGGGCCCAGGAGGCTGCCTGACCAACAGGTGTGTCGGCCGGGATCCCTGTAGCAAAAACGGGGCTGAGGACCTCATGGCAGATGAACAGTTCCCTGGAGAAATGAGTAGGTAGCAGATGCAGGGGCAGCTTCCGGGGAGGAGGGGATGCCAGGCCAGAGCATGGGCTTCATGGGAGGGTGCTGCCACCTGGTCACCCTGCGGGGACCATGTGCGGGGGGAGCCAGGGTGGCATGGGAACAGTCGCCTTGCTCGCTTGCTCTCAGCCTCCTGTAGCTACCCTCACTCCCTGCCCTGCCACACAAGGTCAGACCTACCTGGAGTCAGAAGGTGAGGGGCACGGTCCCAGGGTGAGGGGCGGGGTCCCAGTGTGAGGAGCAGGGACAGTGCTGCCTACTGCAGAGTGAGACCTGGGACTGGCAAACACAAAGCGACCGGAGCATTCGAGGAGCTGAGGAGGCCTGTAGGGGAGGAGGACGGCGGCTGGCAGTGACAGGAAGGGAGGGCCAACATGGGGTGGCAGTCCCAGAGCTTGGGGCTCCCTGCCAGGCCAGCCTTTGTGGCCTGGGGGGTGGAGGTGGCATATCATAAACACTTGCCATATCATAAACACTTGAAGCTCACACTGAAATCTTCAGTGTGTGGCTAGGGAGCAAATACATGTGCAGGTGTCTGAGATCTGTGCCCTTACCTAACCTCAGGGAGAAGGAAAAGGAAAGTCCATCATGTAAGCACATCAGCGGTAGCCTGTGTGTCTCCACACTGGAACCCCCAAGACAGAGGCCGGAGGCAGAGTTGATTTCCAAGACCAGAGTGCTGCGCTGCCTTTGGGTTTTACGTCTGCTTGCTTGGAGCTCAGTGATAGAAATCTCACCCCCAGAAGAGGAAGGGACTGTCTTGCATAACTGGCATACCTGAGGAATGCTTCAGGTGCAGCTAGATCCAGGCATCCTCAAATAGTGTGATGAGGATGCTGCTTTCCTTTCTCACCCTGGCTTGGCTCTGCCCTGATCTGTGTTGTTTTTAGACAAGGTCGAGCCCCCGCAGCTCTGGTCCCCTAGACATGATCCCAGAGGAGCCAGCCCTTCCCTCCTGGGGTCTACGCCGTCCCCTACGGGACCTCAGACTGGCTGGAGGAAAGGTCTCAAGCAGGTCATGTGAAGGGCATTGCACAGGAAACACAGAAGCAAGAGAATCTTGTAAGGTCAGCAGAGCTCTGACTCCTTTACCTCCTCAGGGAGCCTCAGCTGCAGAGGAGCAGAAGGAAGATCCGCAGATGAGGAGGAGATGTTAGAGGTAGGGCAGGCGTGCAGAATGGGCCTGCCGGGGGTCGGGGCGGGAGCAAGAAGCCAGCCCTGCCCGCACCGCTCACCCACACCCTGGCCCCTTCCCAGCAGAATTGGTGACACTTTTTTTCTTCCCAGTGCCTTTCAAATATCCAGAGCAGCTCAGGATTGCTTAGTAGAGAACCAGTTTGAGGTTTTTATCCTTATCTTCCTAATGACAAGGCTCCTGAGAACCGGAGCGGCTGCCATCTGTGGGGTATTCATCATCCTCCTGCATCGGGGAAATGAGTCATTTTAGCAAAAAATGTAGAACTTCCATGAAATTCAAATTGCAGCACGTTGACAAGAATTATATTTGCAGAAAGTCTCATCTAGAAGGCTGAAGTGGTCACCCGAGAGAAATGGCTGCCATTGCCAGCAGGGTCTGACCACCTCACCGAGGGTGGACCAGGCTGAGATTGCCTCTTGTTTTGCACTCTTTTGGTTCCTGAACATTCAATAAGACAAAGAAAGCAGGAAGGTGGGGAGAGAGCACCCTGCAAATAAGAGTCACCATCCAAGAGAGTTATCAGCTGAGTAGGCAGAATTCTTGCCAATTTAGTTGACTGTGCATGGGAGGGGAAGTTTCCAGGGCCTTCTGGAAATAGGATATTTTTTCTTTTTTTGAGATGAAATCTCGCTCCTGTCCCCCAGGCTGGAGTGTAATGGCACAATGTCAACTCACTGCAACCTCTGTCTCCCGGGTTCAAGTGATTCTCCTGCCTTAGCCTCTCAAGTAGCTGGGATTACTGGTGCGTGCCACCACGCCTGACTAATTTTTATATGTTTAGTAGAAACGGGGTTTCACCATGTTAGCCAGGCTGGTCTCGAACTCCTGACCTCAGGTGTTCCTGCTACATCAACCTCCCAAAGTGCTGGGATTACAGGCATGAGCCACCGCGCCTGGACAAAACAGAGTGTTTTCTTAAAGGGGCCACCAATGATACCCTTTGGTCATTCCAAAATGACCTATCTGGGCCTACCCTGGTCAGTCTAGTTCCTAATCCAGAGAAACAAATGCCCTGGCGGCAGGAGGGAATAACCGTTCCAGGTAATAGCAGTTGTTCAAATAATAGCAAAGGCCAGTAGGAAATGTATTGCCTGCCAAGCTGCTAACAATTGCCCTAAACACGAAGTTTGCCTCTAAGGCAGCTCTTACAAGCCATTGGTTGTACTGAAAAGCTCTAAGTTCTTTGTGCAAAGCCTGGAGAAAGTGGCGATGGGGCCATGTGCCGGCCTTTTCTCAGAGCGTGGGAAAACGAGAGGGTCATCCCTTTAGGTGGCAGGATGGCTCCGAGCCTCTGTGCCCACAGCCACCAGAACGAGTCCCCCTTGGGGTCATGGACCCGGTATCTGAGTTGAGTACATGGTCACTTTCACCAAGGCTGGCTGGCATTGCGTGACTTCCCCCAGATGCTGCGCTAGAGTTGGAATGATTTAGTGGTTGTGCACACGAGCACCGCAGGCCCTCGGGCAGCTGGGAGCAGGGGCTGGGGCTTCCTTGTTGGGAGGGAGCTACCCTGCACCTGTGGGTGGGTCCTGTCCCGTCAGCCTGGCAGGCAGGTGTGGCTTGTGGCAGGGTGAGCCCCTGGCACGGAACTGCTCGTTTCCCCAGGTGAGAGTTTCTATGTGGCCAAGGGTCACCAGGAAATGACAGCCTACCTTGAGCAAACCCGAGCTCAGGGTTCATGTTGCCCCAGCAGAACGTGCAGATGTGCTCTGCAAGGAGGCGTTTTTCTTGGTTGGCTGACACTCTCTGGAAGGGAGTGTGGGCCAGGCCAGTGTGCTCAGCAGCACCCCAGAGCAGTGCTCAGGCCGTCCTGGCAGGGACTCCAGTGTGGGGTCAGCATGCTCCCGCCAGGACTGAACCCACTCTTCCTGCCCACTCCTTTCCTGCTCCCAGGTGGGGCTGTTGTCAGGGAGGGAAGAGCAGGGAGGACAGCATGGAAGGCTTTTTCAGGGCCGGGCCTGGGCATGGGCCACAGTGAGGGGCGACACGGATCACCTGGCCCCACTAAGGGCCAGGGGTGAGAGGGATGTCCGGCTGTGCCCTCCTGGGAGGAAGGTGCGCTCTACCATGCAGTGCCTCAGGTATTTAGGCAGCTGTGAGCATGGGCTGGGGCTTCTTTGTCAGGAGGGAGCCCCCTGCAACTGTGGGTGAGACCTGTCCTGTCAGCCTGGCAGGCAGGTGTGGCCTGGGAGGAAGGCATGCTCTGCCATGTGGTATCCCCACCAGCTGGTAACTGTTGGGGAATTTACTGAAACAAGTGAAAGAGTCCCACCCTCCCACAACAATCACCTGCCTTTGGTGTCAATGAGCCTGGCCCCAAAAACTGATTGTCTTTTCCTAGCCTCACACTAAATGGAAGTGCGCTGCTCCTCCAAATTGCAACAAGACCACTGAGGAGAAGTTGACCTGCAGTGGGCACACACATGGCAAAGTGGAGCTGAAGCCACTCGGGGACTGTGCCTGCAAAGGAGGTGGTTTGGTTTCAGTTTTCAAAGCAATGCCCACTTCTATCAACCTGCTTGCCATGTGCCTGGCTTTGCTGCTCTCAGCTCCTAGCCTCTGCAGATTGTGGCCTCAAACTTCCTTTTGAAGAACATCACTGACGCTTCTGCCCTCACTTCTTCCAAGAGGCAGTTATAGACACTCTCTCGGTGGCCTGGCTGCCTGTTTCTAGGGTCTGGGCCGCGGGCTTGGGTTTGCTCTGCTTCAGCAATGCTGTGTGAACCTGAAGGGCCTCACCCATGCCAGGACCCACCAGTGGCTGGGGGAAAGGCCAGGCTGGCATGACCCTGATTCTGCAGATGGCATTTTTAGTGACTCTGCTAGGAACTGATATAACAAAGCCACTGACACAGGGATGACATGCTTACCAGCACCTCCCGAGAGCGGGCCTGTTGCAAACACTTGTGACAGCTCATCCATGCCTCGCAGCTGCTCCATGAAGTAGATGCTGTCATCATGGTCTCTGCCATTCTACAATAGGAACACTGGGCGGAGAGGAGTGATTGTGCTGGAGCATGCGTGGAGGAAGGGAGGGGAAGGGAAGGTGTGAGCCGGTGGTCCGGCACTGCATTGCCCTGCTCCACTTTCCTCCAAGGCTTGGGTCTGCGAGGGCTGGAGCCCTCCCTCTCTGGGATGGTCACAACCTGGTCCTGTGAGTGGTGGTGTGTGGATTCCTCCTGCTCCTGAGAGCACCCAGCCCTTTGTGAGGAGTCAGGGAATGGATCCACCATGCCAGCCCAGC